TATAGCCGTATAGCCCTGTAGCCCTATAGCCTTATATCCCTATAGCCCTAATAGCCCTATAGCCCTATATCCCTATAGCCCCATAGCCCATGTAGCTCTATAGCCCCATAGCCCTATGGCCCTATAGATCACAGTCCTATAGCCCTATAGCCCGATAGCCCTACAGCCCGATAGCCGTATAGCCCTATAGCCCAATAGCCCTAACAAAAATATGATTGGGTTTTTCTCCAGTATCATTGTATGAAACATGCAAGATGATTGAGACAGAAGGTGTCGAATTGAGCTCATGCTCGACGACGTCGTCGCAAATACCAAATCTCTAAAACTTGGTCCAGAAGCCGCGCTTGTGGCCGGGGCCAGCTTATCCGCCACCGTGCCCCGAGGCATGAAGTGGATTATCATCGGGTCCCTTAGCGACCTGTGCACGGAATACTGCCGTGCTCTCCAGCGGGCCCACGGCCCCGAGTCCCGGACGCTCCCATGCGCGTGGAGGCCTTGGCACGCGCTGTCGGTAGATTGTGCTCGAGCCTCCAAGTCGGACCAAGAGGGGTCCCACGACGGTCGAGAAGGCCACGAGTCGCCCGAAGATCGCTCCGAGACCCCCGAGATGGCTTTCGGACGGCCCAAGAGGCCCCAAAGACACCCCAAGACGGAGTTTGAAGGGGGCTGGGAGGCCCCGCCAACAGCTTCGCCTCAGGCGAAGCCAAGCTCCAGCTCGGTTGTATCGTAGTAGCGATAGTCCCAATGCAATAGGGGATGCCATATGCCTTTTAGTATCAATAGCGATATTGTGCCTCGCGGTGAAGCACAGTCAAATATGGGCGGCCGGCCGCTTTGAGCCAAGGCGGCCGCGGGCGCACGCTCGCTTCCACTCCCTACGTCCCCCAGCTCGCTTTAGAGTCGGGGGGGAGGGAGACGAAGCGTGCGTCCACCACCCGCATTACAGAAACAGTTCAGCAGTTAACCGATATAAAGACAGGAAAAGAAACAGGCCCAAAGGAGTTGGACCCGCCAGCAAGTTGCCTCGCATATAGAATGTGCTCCTCAGGCGGCCTCAGAACTTCTTGTCTGGCCGGCCCGATATGGAGTGTGTCTTTTTAGGTCATGTTCGAAGGTCTGTATACCTCCCATGACTTGTAGGAGCATCTCTCTGTCGATGCTCCCCCTGGTGTGTCTGTCGCGGGTATCACACCACTGAATGCTATGCACGGTTCCGCGCTCCATCATCTGTCGCATCCAACTTTTGTGTCCTAAAAGGGTACATTCAGTCGGCTTCTTCAAGTCTTTACTTGGCAAGGACTTAAAGACAATACAGACTCAGCATCGATGGTCAAGGTGACCTTGATGCTCAGGCCACCCAACTCAAGTATGTCTTTCAACTGAGCGGGCGTGAATGGCCCCGCGTGGAGCTCGTGCAGAGTCACAACCGTGGGATAACAGTCCTCCAAATTATGGGCTGCTGCAAGTGTCTCTGATGAGTAGCCTGAGCGGACTTGCAAGCGGTGAGACTTGCAGTGCCAGATGACGTGTTTCGACGTCGTAGCAGGCTTGCACCGCGAATGCCATAGCCTTTGACGTCATCGCCGGCGTCTCCACTCAGGCGTCGATAGCCTGAGTCGCTATGTAAAACGACCTCACCCGTGGGGTTCATCGCCTGGTAGACGATCTTCTTCGGGCAGGCCTGTAGCTTTCTGGTGATCGCGTTCAGTCGTCGCGCTTGAATATTGGTCGGTTCTTGGACACGCTGTAGAGATACAACATATTCCATCAACCATATCTGGGTGATCAGTGCGTATGCCAGCGCACCTCTGAGACTGACAAACATATCTGCCACCATCTTGGTCGCTGGAGCGTCAGCCTTAGCACCGGTCAATTCAGGAAGTTGTATAGGACGGAGCTGTTTAATATATTCATCTTGATCCAAAGTGACATTGCCGTCCTCGTCCTTGGTGTACCTCACAGCACAGTTCGTGCATGTGCGCTTGTTGAGTTTACATTTAACAAAGGCATCCTCAACGCATTTGACATACTTGTCCATAGTGTCCTCAGTGCCGGCCATGTTAATTTCATCAACATGCTTGGCCGTGAGCAGGTTGCTGCTCGTCTCGAACTCCTCGTCGTAGGACGTAGGTCGGAGGCCGAATCCTCTAGTGGTTCTCCTGAGCTTAAGTGAAAAAGCCCGTGGGGCGTCCTCGGTGCCTGTGCCCGGTTTCAAGCACTGCAAACAATGCTTTGACTCGTCGTAGTTCTCAAATCCTGGGAGAGTACGGAGCACAGTTGCCGATCCAGGCGGCAAGGTAAAGCACGCCACACGTTCATTTTCACCAGTGGCCTCAGCGAGTTCCTGATAGGTCAAACCCTTCAGGAAAGCCATGTTGATGTCCAGGGAGGCAACGATCCACTGTTTATTGCGCGCTGCCGTGCTAGCAAGTAACCTTTGGCTTGACCTTCTGGCTGTTCCCGAACATGTTTCTACGTCGAAAGCTTCAAGGTCCATGAAGCCTCGAAGTACCGAGCGAAGTCGGATGGTGCGTTCCATTTCGCCCTTTCGTCCTTCACGAATTTCGATTTGTAGACGTACCTCGAAATCCTGATGTTCGACGCTTTGGCTACCTCCTGCATCTTATAACATGTGTTGTCGAATCGCGTCTTGAGCTCAGTGAAAAGGGCCTTCGATATTTTCTCGGGATTTGCCTGAACATCAGTTTTAGCAAGGAGGTCGTCTTCCTTGACAACCACAGCTCGCTTTGCAGCGGCAGTAACATATACTCGCATAGTGGTCGCCCGGTCGGCGTCTAACAACATGCGTTGCTGTTCGGACAAGACTACCTTTGACATTTCTGTCGTAAAACACAGTTCAACGTATCGACCGTTTTCGTCGGAGTCGAGTCCGTAGCTATCGTCTTCGACCATGGTGCTACAGGGGGCGTTATAAGTCTCCTCGATATCGGGATCGTGAGTACGCCCCCACTTCGGCAGGTGTCCCCGCTGTTCATCAGCTACAGTGATCAGGACACTCTGATCAGGAACCATCTGTGTGGGGACGGTAAAGAGGTCTTCTAGTGGAGCTGCCTCCAACAATGCCTTTTCCTCTCGCAACTCTGCGTACCACACCTCCAGGACATGTGACTCAAGATCAGCTTCTGCTTCCTCGTAGATCGTAGACAGCCGTCCATCATCATCTTCTGGTTCGGCTTCTGAAGCCTCTCTTGGGGCTCCCTCAAGTGCCGGCGCATCAGCCAAGTCCTCAAACTTTGACACGTCTTGATCGAAGCCTGCCTGAGGCTTAATGGACTTCAGGCATTGGATGATTTGTGAATGTGATGATCCAGTTAAATCATGTAAAATAAAAGTGGTACCTTCTGCTTCATAGTAATGAAATCATGGATCCACGTCGTTGTCGTAATGGACCAATGTGCAGCTGTCAGCATAAGTGACCGGAGGTACCTTGTGTATACTCTTGGCTAATCTGACCGAAACTACGTTCTCAATGCGGAAGAAGTTTCTGATGAGATATTGTAGAGCCAAGTGTACCTTTGGAGATAGACGACTCGCCGTTGTCATCTGAAGCGCGCCTTTCTTGGTCGGCACATTGCCAAATGTCAGAGCAGGTCTCCCCGCTGATAGGCTGGCGACGAACGTCAACGCTGTACGTAGTGCAGTGTTGTCGGAGCCAATCTCTCGGGCTATGAGTGCTTCAATATAGAACGAGCGTCGTGCATCGCCGTATTGTACTTGAACGTTTCGATTGCCTACCCGGATGATGACCTGACCCCTCTCAGGATCATTCCTTGCAACTGGGAACGGGAGATTTCAGCCTCCCCAGTCATCTTTAGTGGTCGTAGGGCGATGGTAGTCGACCAAATCTCCTTCGTCATGATAGTGCTGACCTGGAATTGTCGTCTTAGTGCGTAGAGCACGATTGGTCTTACCTACAGCCCTGGCCTGTGTGATAGCTTCAATACATGCCCTGCGTATTGTCTGTTCACGAGAATGATATGATGTCCCTGTCGGCTGTTCGTGGTCCAGAACAGGAAAGTCAGGGAGCATCGCTGGTTGCCGTCCAAACAATGCATTGTAGGGAGACACCTCACTGTAGAAGGTGAATGCGTTGGCGGCGAATGTGCATGGAGTTAGAGCACAAAGGCACAGAACCCCTGATCCGTCGGTAGAGGAAGGAAGGAAATATAGGGATCTTTTCCTCCTGTGCGACCAGCGCCCTGGTCTCTTCCAGTACCTCAGCCGATAAGGCAGGCAAAAAGGCGAGCGAGGAATAGACATGAGGGTATGAGACGGGTTCCTTTCACGCACCCCGTCCCGAATCCCGCCCGCATGGGCAGGAATCGGGAAACAGGAAGAAAGAACCTGTCACCCTCTTACTCCTCAAAAACGCGCATGTCCCGAACACACCAGCAGGGTCCGCTTCTGCTATTACCCAGCGCCACTGCGAAGTGTGAACGGGCAAGGTAAGGAGCGAAGGAGCATCCAAGTGTCCATAATCCTTTACGAACACCCTTTAGGTGCCCCTCGGTGCGCCCCCAAAAACCGCTTCGGCACTCGAGGGGGGAGAGGAATGGGACACGGATGAGCGGAGCAAGAGGAACGGAGGAAACGAAAGCAACATCAGAAGCCGCTGCGCCCAGCCTCATCGATGAGGGAAGGACGCAGCAGGTGTTGCCACCGGCATCAAAATAAACACCAGCCGTACCAAGTCAATCAATGCTCCGTCAGCTGTGATATAGGAGCTGTCGCACAGAGGTTACATATAAGCAAAATAAATTCGATGTCGTGTTTATGAACACGAATAGTTACATAAACAAACTCTGTATTGGGTAAGTCTCTCTGGCAGTGCTCCTAAGGAGCGCGCCTTGGACATCGTCAAGATGTGTGTGTGAAGCCACTTGTCGATGGTAGTGAAGTGGCTAAGAGGTTGTGTTTTGTACTGCTCGAGGCGAACTCTGCAACGGCTAAGTTCAGGCTAACTCGAGCAGTGGGCCTGGCGGCCGACATCTGTAGGCATTGCCGCGCGGGTAGAACTCACTTGCCCAGATGCGGCGGCCATCAGAACCAACATAGCTGGTGCTGCACGTATCCCACGCAGTCCGCGCGTGCCAATTGTAGAAGCGAGGGTTGTGCTGGATGTCACGCAGGTACACGAACTCGTCGCTGTTCTCCGCGATGTAGATCCAGCAATTGTTGTAGTAGCTCCAGTACCTGGGGCCCCACGCGATGCCCTCAAGATTGTCGCGCCAATAGGCGGCGTCGTGGGCGATGCGCGCCCGCTTGGTGCGCGGGGGCGTCACCGGTGCGCGGGGGCCAGCGCTGCTGCCGGCTGCCTGCCAGCCGCTCGGATGGGTCGC